GGTCCAGGTGTCCGCCCCAAGCACACAGCAGGGACCTGCTCTGCAGTGAGGTCACAGTTTCCCAGGCTGACAGATGAGTCTGTGGCAATTTAAATTTTATTGCTCCCTGCTGCTCTTTCTGTCCCGCTGCCAGAGGTTACCAGCTGCACTGCCAAAGGGAGTACCCACAGCTCTGGGAGGAATATCGTGTCTTTTTCCAAGCCTGGATGCTCACTTGGAGTGTAGGGATTGCTGATTGACTTCTGTAGTAACCTCTTGGCATTTCTGTTGGTGTGCCTGCACTGAGTTTTTTAGGAAGCCTTTCTGAATACTTTCTGTTTCTTTCTTTTGTTTTTTATGCTAATGGCCTTTTCCTACCGACTCCCCTCAATTTTACTTTGCTTCTCAAGCAAGAAAAATGCTGACTGGACTGTTAAGGCAAAAAAGTATCAAATACCAGCTCTAAATAAATATACTTTTAAGTTTTTCTGAGCCAAAGCAGTTGTGCAAACTTGCAATGCGTATATGTCCAGGATATGTATTATGTATCCACATATGAAAAAGCAGATTCCTGAGCTGGCCTTCTCCTGAGGAATAATGTTGTATGATACTGAATGAAAATACCTGGAATAAATGAAAAATAGAGCTTCCAGAGCAATCCAAACTGGGATCTATTTAGGCAGGTTTTAACAAATGGCAGTAAAGTTGCCTTCAGTGGACTCCTACCATTGCACGGACTTCATTGACAAAAGAGGAGATGATGCAACACAGAATATTATTTCTAATATTCACCCACTTGGTCCAGGCTTCCCAACAAAGGTATGTTTTCCAGCAAAGATTTTTGGCCTCAAAAATGGAACGTTTTTGTGAAAAGCAATAGAGAGGAATGCGTAGTATTTTAGGGTTTTGTTCTGCCTGCCTGGATTTCCCTTCACGCTTTTGCTGCCAGCACAAACTTGTTTGCAGAGCTCTAGCAAAAGAATCACTTACAAGTGGTTATTATTAGTAGTCCGTTACGCATGCAGTGAAGGAGTTTCTGTGCCACCCTCTTCCCCCGGGGAAAAAGATACAGGGTAAGGAAGAGGGGAATTTGACCGTAATCACCCCATTGAGAAGGATGGGAGGCATAGTCTCCAGACCATGGATGTGAAGCTGCTGTTGCATGTCTGAGATGCACTGTACACAGAGATCCTGCACTTCAGCCCCCATCCCTCTGTGAGAGCTCTGGCATGGCAAAATATGCCTTTCCGTAGCCTCCGTGCTCAGATTAAACATGTGCATGTGTAAATGGTAGTAGTTCCTTCTCCCTCCCAGGCTGCTGCTTTCTCCTTGTTCTTTCCTCTGTTCCAGTCCTGTTTTTGCTCACAGGTTTCCTTAGTCATCTTTGCATCCTAGCAGCTAAGCCAAGGCTTTATTGCAGCAACATACGATGGGACCTTCCTACTGTTTTTGATTAGGAAGCTAATAGTCTTTTCCTTCCTGGTGGGAAAAACTCTTGACGAGGGAGAGCAAAAAGCTGCAGTTATCAGGCTGTGCATGAGGAAATGGTTTAACGAGCGCAGTATTCAAACAGAAAGTGTTCAAACCCGAAACCCTTGCTGCCACTTTATCCGGTTCCTTTAAAATAGGAATTTGAGAATTTGAGATCAGTGCTTTCTCGCGTGGGGTGTTGTACAGGCACCTGGAGGTTTCCTCGCTCAGCCCAGCTGCCGCTCTGGCCCCGAGCTGCAGCTGTTGTTCTTGACACCTGCCTGCTGGATTTTTGCTTTTTTTGCAGTTTGCGCAACTTGTGACGAGCGGAGACTTGGCTGCCCGGTGCTTGGAGAAGGGAGCAAGCTCTCTCCGTATCTGCTGCTTGTGCCGACTGTCATGCCACAAATGCTGTTGGGGCGCCTGCGAGCGGTTC